GCATTATAATATTTACAACGCTATTCACGAAAGAGGTGAGGCCAGGGTAGCAAAAACAAGAATAAATACCTTCTGTTCCAACTTAGCCTGCTTCCCCTGCTCAAGTATTTCCTGCAACGTCTCCTTATGTTCTTTCTCCTCCTGAGAGGGAAGGGGCTGGTACATAAAAGACACATGTCACATTGAGAAGACGATGACTTCCAAATGCATACGCTTAACACTAGGATGCAGCCGAATAGATGCTAGTAAACATTTGATATCACCAACATCTGGCTTTATAGGTTAAGAAAAAAAAGTTTGCAATCACAAAGACCTCAACAGACTAACAGTGCATATATAAAATCGACAATTAGACCAAAATATCAAATATCTACTTAATTGCTTTCATTTGTTAAGGTGCATTCTTTTCCTTCAAAGGGAGAAAAAGAGGATAGATTGACATCTCAGATTAAAGAACACGTTTCCTTGAAATGGTGATGAAAGTTGTCTTACAGAGAACTAAACTTAAATAGTACACTTACAATAAAACTTGTGACAATTACTTTAACTTCTCCCCTATGAGCCATGGTCAACTCCACAAATCACTTTGCAATGCTTTCTATGTTCCTGAGCCTTCCATTCTCAGCCAATATAACTAGCATGGATATATATAAAAACATCAGGGAAGTATTTAATCCTTAAAAACAAGGAATCAAGAGCAATAAGGAATACAAAGCCATTGACAATGAACAAGTGCAGTTGTAGCACAGGCTAACATGCAATGAACAAACTCCTAATGGAATGCCAAACAAGCAACTGCAGCTATTATGATTTGCAAATCATAGCAGACACGAAATCACTATATTGAACCCTATATATTTAGGGAAAAGGAAAAGAGAAACACATATAGCTGAGAAAGAATCTCTTAGATCAAAAACAACTACAAAATTAAAGGGGCAAAAAAAGTCTCAACAACAGGAAAAACATCAATAAAACATAAACATGGGTGAAAGGGGGTTTTCTATATTATAGTCTATAATAACAAGATCATATGGAGCATGATTTGGCCAAATACAAAGTGAAAGAAACTCGGTACATAATAAACTAGAACAAAGGAAAAGGTCAACCACGATATGGCAAGCTATATATCCTGTATAAAAGATTAGCTAGATAGCAACATCTAGGTAGATTACTATCATACAATTAAAAAACTCATTGAAACCATGCATGTAACATCATACGCTTTTATATGCCAATGATAACAATCAAGATTTCCTGCATCAGTTTAATAGCAAAGTAGCTACTTGAGACTCATTCTTCCCTGAAATACCAAGTAAGCTGATCACCTAATGATTAGCATTTCAGTTGGACATCAGACACCCTATGTTCATAAAGAATGATCAAGGTATCCTTGGTCTCAATTTCACAGTTCATCACAATCACACAAAATTGAACTTCAGGAAAGCCGGCAACAGCTCTAACCAATTTACATACTTCAGATAAAAACTTCGTTAATCTATTTTCCGGTTTCCATACCCAAAAAGTTCTTTGTAAGATCTGAAAATTCAGCTTCCCCGCATATATCATTAATGGCTTTGACTCGTGTCTCTGCAGGTACCGACAGATCCTTGGTGAATTGAGAAAACAATTGACTGTTTTTCGATGCCTGAACTAGGTCAAGAAGTTCAGTCTCGACGTTTTTCAGAGCATTTCCTTTAACTGCTGCAAGGTACAGTGCAGACGCATAGTTTCCAGATCCCCCAAACAAAGCCAAAGGCACCTGAATGGCAATAACAACAAACAAAACAGAGTTAGAACACCTAAACTTAAGGGTCTGTTTGTTTGCCGTAAAACCAATTACGGAATTGGTTTTCCCCGAAATCCCGTGTTTGTTTCATGTAATTCATTTTCCGGAAAATGTTTTCCCGTGTTTGTTTCACGTAATTCGTTTTCCGGAAAATGTTTTCCCGTGTTTATTTCACGTAATTCATTTTCCGGAATGTAATTCATTTTCCTAGTAACAGAATTTCCTTTGTGTTTTCTGTAAAATGACTTACGGATTCATTTTCCGTAAGTCATTTTCCGAACTTTTCACTTTAAAGCAAAAATACTCAAAATAATTTTTATTTTATAAATTTAATATTAATAAAATATTTTAATATCATTTTCATCAAAATATTATTTATTAAAATATTTAAAATATATTTATTAATATTTATAATAATATAATATAATATTTTTAATATTATATAAAATAATCAATTATATTATAATAATATAATATAATATAAGATATTATATTTTTATTTTAATAATATTTAATATTGTTTTATATATTTAATAATGAATAATATTATTTATATATTTAAATAATATTTTAGTAAAGATATTTAAAATATATTAATTAATATTTTTAAAATATAATATAACACTATTACTTTAATAAATAATTAATATAATTTATAATATTTTATTTCACTAAAATATACCAATATTAATATTTTTATTAATAAAATTATAAAAATAATATTTAATAATAAATAAAATTATTTTAATATTTTAAAATAATAATATTAAATTTTATGATAAATAATATTATTTATTATATTTAATATTTGTAATAAATAATTTTTAAAAAACTCTTCAACTAGTGGAAAAAAGATTTAAATAACATCTTTCAAACATCATAAAACGTTTTCAAGATGTTTTCCAGAAATGTAATTCATTTTCCAGAAATGTAATTCATTTTCCAGAATTTAAATTCCAGTAATTCATTTTTCAGTAATTCAAATTGCAGTATTTCATTTTCTGAAAAACCAATTACAGCCAAACAAATAGACCCTTAATTCAACCCTGAGCATTTTACAACCAAGGTAAATGGGGCAATGAAATTGTTTAAAACCATGAACTAACTAAAACATGTAAACCAAAACTATCATGAATTCATGGAAAAGAACATTTTTTTTAAGTTAAAAGAAACAGCTTATGTACCTTAACTTTCTCGTCCTTTTTTGGGGAAGCCGTGGAATAATTCTTCGAAAGCTGTACGAAACACGACGGGAAAAATCAGACAGAGCAAACTTTAAAATATAGCACGACCATTGCACTGCCGTGAAATGGAAGGTAAAAAAAATCCGATGACAAGATAATAAAGCTTTGCAATATCCCGCCTAAGCAATCAATTTGGACATCGCCATTACATCTCACAACGAAAACATAACAGTAGTATAAAAACAAAGACATGTAAACATACAAAAAGGAAATCATATCGAAAATCAGACTTGGATCATCTCACCCCTGAAAATACAAGGTGCGATCGAACTAGAGTATGAAATACAATACAGAATAGAAGAAGGTACCGATGAGAGAGATGACAATTACCTCGGGGCAGAGGAGAGTTTGGTGAAGAGTGGATCTGGGAGCGTGAGAAGAGAGAAGATCGGATCTCAGCAGCCTGTCGAAGAGGGAGGAAGTGGATCTAACGCACGCTGCCATCGCCATTTCTGAACACGAACCCTAATTCTTGCTTTTTGGTTCTGAAGATCGCTTCTTTTGTGTTTTTTTTTTCTTTCTGGCGTGAGGTTGTGAGGGAGTTTGTATTTGAGCCTGAGCGTGAGATCTTCTCGGGCTTGGGATGATTATTATTTTATTTTATATTTTTCATTATCAGTTCTCAAGCTTTTTCACACTAATATTTTCAACTCTCTATTTTTGAAATTATTTCATCCTAATTTTTAAATTATTTCTCAAAATATTTTAAACTTAAGGGTAAACTAATACGAATGACCACCCAAATATGGGGTTAGTGTCAATATGACCATCATTTTTAAAATTGAGTCAATATGATATTATCACCTAACTATTTAATTTGTTCTAATATAACCATTTGTCGTTAGTATTTATCAGGAGTGCTTACGTGATAGTTAATAAAATTAGTATAATTATATATTTGATCCTCGATACTTGCACATTCAATAAATTTTGTCCTAATTTTAATTTTATTTAATAAATTAACCATACAATTAGGAGTTACAAGTTCCAACATATGAAAAGTAGATAGCCATAATGTTATGGCATTTCTGCTACAAAAATGGAAGTACTTTAGTTGAACTTTTATCTGCGTATTGGAACCAATTAAATAGTTTGGTGATCATATCATATAGACTCAATTTTGAAAATGGTGGTCATATTGACTTCAACCCCATACTTGGTGATCGTTCGTATAGTTTACCCTAAATTTAATTATATTTCTTTTTTTAGATTCCTAAGTTTTATCTTTATATTATATAATTTAAATTTTTAAAAAATTCAATGTATGTCTAAGTTTTATATATTTTCATACGAGTGTTTTTATATCCAAAATTTAACGAATCGAGACAGATGATTTTTGTTGTAGCACTATATTCTAAAAATATCCACATCGTTTTGTTTTGTTTTTTCGTTTTTGTTTGCTAAAAATTCAATAAAATTTTTACATTTACTATATGTTACTTTCTACCGTGATGTTGATCGTTGTGATCTTGTGTATGACTTCAACAACTGGAGAGAAGAATTTCTTATTCAGGTATGTATTCCGAAAGCATACATGGATTTAGAGAGAAATCAGATTATATTTCTCAGGAGAAAAAGTTCAGCTATTTATAGAACGAGGCAACATATGAAACCAGTAGATCCTGCATGAATATTCGTTTGAATGCATATTAGCATAGGGAATCTGTCTTCTTCAACTTACCCATAATAATTCCATTAACATGTAACTCTGTCCAGATCTCTCTGCAATGTCCTACCCAATAAAATCCAGGTTTTTACAAACTTGTTAGAGCAAAACAAAAATAATGACTGGACCTGGGAATCTTTGAAATCAAAAATTCGGAAAATTCCACATCCACAGCGTTTGAGCTCTTCAAATTTCATGAAAATATCAAGAAATAATATTGCTTTATGATATTTTCTTTATAAATAATAATGCTCGACAGCAAATTCAAACCAAATAGCATATTCACATATTGATAACGAGGAACTAAAAAGATACTATAATGGCATTGAAAAGCTTTAGGTCGACCCTATTTTGGTTCATAAAAATTTCATGACCTGGATACAAGTAGAGTTGAAATGATGTAAAATTAGAATTACCCTATTTGTCAGGGTAATCGGGTTCATATCAAGTTTGCCAGGTCTACTCCAAATTGTCAAGGTTGAGAGTTACCCTGGAAAGCTATCCATTAAAATTAAGGACCGTCTTAAGTATTTACTTTGCAGAACCATTCCCAACAAGGGGACTTCGTTCTACAACAACGTTCTCCACAGGGTTCTGCTCTCCCCATACAGCTGCATCTAGATATCCAAGCTCAAAAAGTCTATCGAGAATTTCATCATCTGCCGGCTCCAGCGCCCAGTTGAAAAGCTGTAAGTAGTTTGAAACAAGAATTCAGAGGCTTACACCCGAGGAAGACGATTAACATTTGCAGAGCTACGAGATTACCTGTCTTCCAGTAGCCCTATTTTCAGGATTGCAGTCTGGACTTATCCCAATTCCACGCAATCCCAACAGACTGGCTGGGAAAGCACAAACTCGGACCTGCAAAGGCAAAATCAACCATAATATCTCTTTCAGGAGTAAGTTTATGTAATCATTAGTGCCTTCATTGCTTGACAATGGTGGATTATCATACAAGGCTTTCTTCAAGTCTTAACAATAATCACACAGAATGTGATATACGAATCTTAGAACAGATCTGATTGAATCCTAGCTTTGTATAATATAGCCACAAAACTTCAGCAACATTTGAGAATAAAAATATTATTGCAGTACTACTCAGAATATCGAAATACCACTTAACACCCTAGCAATTTAATTCAAAACCATTTATGATCAACCATCCTTGTTTCAGCCTTCTATTTGATTGAAAATTTTCTTAAAATATAATGTCTTGGAACAAATAGTTTCCCATAATTTTCGGAGGCAAGTTCAGTTTTAAATGATCTCAAGAAATTTATACCGTTTTAGATGCAGATGTTGGGGGAATAAATAATGTTAAACCCCCATCAATGCATAGACGATTCCGAAACATTGTCGCTGGGCGAGGAGCAAGATACCTGCAAATATATGGTTTTATCAGGTTCAGGCAACTTCATGGCAAGTTGTTCAATTCAGAACTGTGCCTTAACCAATTACCCAGGAATGAAGGAAGATGTAATGACTGCATTGATTAGATCTTCTTTAGAATCAAATTGATCCACCAGTAAACCTCTAGGCCTCCAAAGAACCTGAGTTACAGCAACTGACATAATAGTTGCAAATAAAATAAAAGAAATGTTAGTTGTATGCTCATGCATGCAAATAATAGTTACAATGTTATCATGATCTAAATGTGTGATTTACAGATTCTGATTGTAGGATAGTAACATTATTTTGCCGTATGCCCGTGCATGCTTCAAGAAAATTTATTTATGAGACCTTTATACTCCGTGTAAAGTAATATACAAACAGTGTCTAATTTGTTTTCAAGTTACCATACTCACCACGAACCCTCCCGTTGGACCTAGTATGAATATCATGAGGCAGAAAATTGTCAAGAACATCTCGGAGAACAGCCTGTTGGTTTTAGAAAAGGATGAGTTAACATAAAACTTAAACTTGATCAGAAGCTGATGCAGAAACATGAGTTTTTTAGTGAAATATTAAGCAAATGACCAAAAATGTATGAGATACTAAGCCACCAAAATATTAAAGGTGAAGAAATCAGGATCCTTTAAAGCATTGATGATTAAATATAATTATTAATCTCTGCATTCGTTTTTAGTGAGCAAGTAGACCACAAATGTACATGCTTATTAGCAATTAGTGACCATCAATCATCCACACTACAAAAATATAAAGTAACTAAATTTATTAAAACATCACAATAAGTGCATTAAACAACAAATACAATCATTGTGCTAGGCCTAGGCATACCCCAAGACGAAAAGCAGTCCCTTTAAGCCGGCAATCATTAGCCAGGATTTTAGTTGCTTTTAGGGCTTCATCCATGCTAGCTCCAGAAGCAATCACTGCACATACTATAGCACCAGCAGATGAACCAGACAATGGTGTGGTTTCCTAAATCAGAGGGGAAAAAGCAGTATCAGGTATGGTCAGTGTGTTTCATGATGAAATATCACTGCACAGAGTCGGGTAAAGAGTTTGCCAGTGTTCTCAAACTCATAGAGTACTTGCCTAAAACACATACTTCGAAAGCCCTTTCTAAGGTGAAAGATATACTTAATAGGAACAAGTATTCCGGACCTGTATCGTTGACATGATTACCATTCCCAAGCTACAGAAACACCAACCAAAATAACCCTTTATTGTCTCCATAATCTCCTCTGGAAACTAGACGGCTAAATTTCATGGCAAATGCAATTCAACAGTCATTCGAAAGCCAGAGCAGATATATTTGTATAATCAAAAAGGATGTTCATGATCACAGAAGGTCAGTTAAGTCAGATATATGTTCAATATCCAAACTGGACCATGGAAATTCGTTAAGAAAAGAACCGACATTGACAGAATAGTGATTTAGATTATGTTTTCAATTTGTTACTAGCTAGAAAATAGTCGTACCCTCCTCTAACTTTAAAACAGATACCACCGGTGGCTGTTTCCAAAGCCTGCAAGAATTTACATGCTAACTTGATATGCTTGCTTATAACATAAACTTAAAGCTTAAGGAAGCCAAGATTCTTCCTTTCGATTTCCTAACAGGCATGATGACCCTAGGCCTGAAAACCCCACCATAAAAAACCATCAAACAGACCTGATAGGAGGACTCTCTCACCCTTTCTGTTCTCTCACCTACATTGTTCATCTTCTTCTACCTCGACTCCCTCGTCACACAGATTAACCGAATGTTACCTAAACTAGAAGAGATGAACCGCCCATGACCGACGAGACAAACTTATTCCCATCAACAATTCCACATTAGAAGAAAAATGCCAATTAATAGAAATCAAACGGAAATGGTGGACAATCAAAGAAGCAATTCATGTATAGTTGAGAAAAAGAGTAAAGATTAAACCTTTATGTAACCCTTTTCAATGAGAAACTGGGCAACTCCAAGGTGATAAGGGAACAAAAGGCCAGCAGCAGAAAAACTAAACCCAGGGCTTGTAACTACTCTTCTTTCTTTCTCAGCTTCAATATCCTTCACTCTTTGTTCCCATATCACCTCTGGCTCTATCTCATCCTCCATCACTAACCCAATTCTCTCCTTACCGCTGTTTCCACCATTTCCAAGCTCATTCTCACTGATTTTCTTTCTGGGTCTGCTCAAAACAGGGATTGTTGAGCTTGAATCTTTAGAATTCGAACTGCTTTTAATTAATCTGGATGCAATTCCCACGAAAAACTCCCCTGTTGCCACGGCGAAAGACACTTTTTCATTCTTATCTTGTGAGGGTGGAGTTGTGAGGTTATTGTTGTTTTTCGAGGAGTTCATGACGATGAAGGAAGTGAAAGCACGAGGGTGCGGGGAAAGGGTGAGAAAAGAGCTAGATTTTATGGGAGATGAAGGGAAAGTGTGGGAAATGAAAAGAGAAGACATTGACGGAACAAACAATGAGAAGAACTGAAACAACTACCTGCTGTTTTGGTACCGTCTTGAAACTCATTACTAATACATTCAATTTCAAGTTTTTTTTGGGCTTAATGCGTTATATTATTTACCAAAATACTTATCCATTCAATTATTCTGACGATTTTATTTTGATTACATAATTTTTTTATCCAAAATTATATTTATAATTATTTTTATCATGTTTTGGTTATTTGTTGTTAAAAATAAACAAAATCATTGATGTAATTATTTTTTCCAATTTTAAACAATGATGAAGTGACATTATTTTATGAAGATGAATCAGTATTATCATTAATTTTTTAATATTGGCCGATTAAAATGTACATTTAAATATGATTTTAAAAAAAAGTTGAGTGACTAAAATGAAACTATGGAAACAGTTAGGTGACTAAAACCGTGGTTTAGCCAAAAAAGTAGAAAATTATTTGGTTTTGGGTTTGGGTTTTGTTGGGTTATGATTTGGGAACATTTAAATTGTTGTCTTAAGATGCGGTTTTTGCCGAACAAAAGCTGTCTTCTTTGTTTAGAATTGTTCGCTAAACATTTTTTCATCAAAATGATTCCATGAAAATGTTTCTTTCCACTCATCCTTTCTTATTTTTGTTTCTTGTTCCAAACTAGAGGTTAGAAGAAAACGAGAACAAAATTTAAAGCTGGATTATTAGCTTAAATTTTATAGGGAAAAAAAAGATGTAAAATTGATCCATTCAAAGAAATTGAATCCATCAAATATTAATGATTAATCTCAACAGTAGTATTTCATTCTTGACAGAATCTATCCTTGAAAGTATTTAAATTATGGTTATACATAAATTAAGATTATAAATGAGACGAGACATCTCGAGAATTATTTTAGTTTAATTCGATTAAAGTTTAGTCAATATTCTAATTGAATGGACTCGACTCGATTCTAGTTCTTAATGAGGCAAAACGGACTACTTGATACTCTACTCGAAAAGCTCGTGAACAAATCAAAAAAATAATATATTAAAATTTTTTATTTTTAAAATTAAATTATTAACAATATTAACACTTTTATGATATTTTTTTAAAATAATATAATATAATATAATATAATATTTTAATATGCTTAAGGTTCAGTTCGAACTTGAGTTCGAGCTTAAATCGAGCTCGAGTTTGAGCTTTAATTGAATAAGTCTGAGAATGTTTTGAGTTCAAATTTTTTCGGCTAGACTTGAGCTTCAATTTTTTATTTCAAGTCGAGCTTGAAAAATTTAAGCTCGCGAGTTTTCAAGTCGAGTTGAGCTTCAATTTATGATTTTGAATTCGAGTTGAGTTTGACAATTTTAAGTTCGAAAGCTTTTGAGTCGAGTCAACCTCAACTTTAAACTTTTTGAATTGAGTTGAGCTCAACAATACTCCATTCAACTTGACTCATCTACAACCCTAATTTAATTTCAAATAAAATGAATTGTATTCAAACTATTTTTTTATAGAAGTCTCTAGTCTTATTTAAAAATGAAAATATCTAAAATTATAATAAGGATTTACAAGTATCATCATAAATTAAATACATAATTTGAATATTTTTCTATAACATTGAAACTAGCCACTTTAGATCATATAAGAACCATACATAAAAAGTTTAAAATTTTAACAAAAAGACTCTAACGAAAAATAAATATGATAAATATGACTTCATCAGTAAACGAACCACAAAAGAGATATGGTTAGAAAATGATTGTTAATCCAAAAATAATATAAAAATAATAATGATTGAAATATAATTATAAAATCAAGAGAAAGAACGAGTTTATTATGTCTTAAGATTGTTATTCAAAATAACAATCTGAGAGGAAATCAAACCTGAAGAAATCAAATTTCTTTAAAAATAAAAGAAAAAAATTGAAAAAATACTCTTTTTATTTTTGATCTTGTGATCGGAAACAGTTAAGACATGTCACTACACAGTTTCCTTAAAGACATTTTTTTTCACTCTTTTAGTGCTCAAGATATTTGGTCGTATGTCTCGCAAGATACGATAACTAAATGATCAACAAACAATTGCACAAACTTTCGAAATCATTAACTATCATTGACTTCGTCTATAGTCGAAAGACTAAGAACGAGAGAAAATATTTTTTTCAAGAAAATAGAAGTTCTTGAATTCTGAGATATGAAAAACCTAGCATGTTAGCTCAATATTTATAGCGAATTTTCAAGAGAGTTTTACTCCAACCAGATATCTTTTAATATCCCAATTTAAACATATATAATATATTTTAATTTGAAATATTCAAAAGATATGAACTTCTTTTATTATTCAAACTTAAATATATAATCTGAAATATTCAAAAGTATATAATTATCTTTAATAAAGTTAAATAGATAATAAATACCTTTTAATTTGATATATTCAAAGAGTAATTATTCTACTAACATTCAAATTAAATAATATATTTTAATTTGAAATATTTAAAAGGAATATGAATTTAATATAAATATTAAATCCATCAATTAAATTCATCTTCTTCTTCTTTTCAACAGTTGCCCACATGAATGAAATTGGAGATTTTATCAAAACATTTTGACACGATGTGATAATAAACTCTACGATCGATAGTTGCATAAGATAAATAGGTGTCCTCCTTGAACATTCCCTTGTGACAATATATTTACTTTACTGGCTAGAGAGTAGACATGATGTCCTTGAACAATTTTGTCGTTTATGTAAACGATGACTGATAACTGTAAAAAATTATTTTTGGGTCTTTTTACTTAAGTTATTGATTATCTAAAAGTCATTTTCATAATATTTTAGTTGCATGTAGTTGCATTTAGGACATTTATTGCATGTGGTGGAAAAGTTTTGTCTCGTCTAGTTTTTCTTTATAAAGTTGATGTTGTTGATGAGAAGGGTTATGTGTTGGTTGTGATGATGCATGTGATAGGAAATTATCGAGGAGGAAATTATTTGCCATGACAAATTTTGTGCGAGGGCCAAAGGAACTGAAGACAATGACCGTGAGGAACAATATTTCCGCGATAAGTTTTTCTTGAAATTCTGGACGCAGTACAAGACAAATTAGCTAATGTCGCGTGGCCTGTTGTCCCATGAGACTCCCGTGAACCCCTACCCCTGCTGCTAATTTAGGACCACAACCACCTGCCTTGTTGTCACATTTTGGGCAAGAAATCAAGGGAACAAAACCCTAGAAATTCTCCACTATAAATAGAAAATGATGCCCATATTTTTAGGGACCCCTACAATTTCCATATTTTGAGATTTTTGAGGCAACAACACCATTTTCTTTATCTTATTCTTTCTTCCTTTTTAGTGGTAACCTCCATAGTCGAGCTTCATTGAGGTAGCGGCTAGGCCTTCGAGAGAGACTAGCCTACTGGAGCAGTCATGGTGGTGGTCTATGTGTCAAGGTAACAACCCCGTTTTGGGAGTTTCCTTCTCCTTTGCTTTCCATTTTCTTATCTTTGTTGGGTTTATTTTTAAAGATTATCTTGTTTGAACTTAGTCACACCACGAACTAATCTATTTGGTGTTGATTTGTTATGATTGATATTTATTTCATGTTAATGGATGATTTTTAGTATGTTTATGTTTAATGTTGTTTTGTTCACTATTTTAACTTTATGTTGTGGCAATGTAAGAGCTTTTGAGAGATTGCCATTTGTCATAGCCTAACATGCTTAGTCATTGTAAGAGCTTTCGAGAGATAGTCGTTTTCTAAGTGTTGATACCTAATATCGAAAGAGTTAGGTTATATTTACATGAATAAATGAACTAATTCAGGATGGTGAGGTTATAATCCATCTTAGAGATGAGAAGAGGGTTTCAATCAACTAAAAGGAATAATACTCAATTTATAGGCTTGGGTCATAATTTACGCTGAGAGTTATTGTTGTGGCAATAGTTTTATCAGGTTCCTTACTAGAGATGGCCTAGGAACACTTCTAGTAAATCATGTCAGGCAACATAGACATAATGTACTTAGATCATCCTAGGCACAGAATAATTTCTCACTGTAACAAATCCAACCAATTACTCTGTTAGAAGCTTGATTAGTGACGTTTCCAGTCTATTTTCAGCGTTAAAAAAATTCGTCTTAGCAACTTTTATTTACTTACTCTTGTAATTAATTTTTTCCCTAGAAATTTTTATTTGTTTACTCTTGCATATTTTTCTTGTCACGAAAAAATTATCTGCTCACTTAACACATTTCTTGCCTCAGTAAACATTTTCCATTTGTTCATACTATCTGTCGTACCACATTTCTCATTTGTTTATATCTTTGGACTTAGAAATTTAAGATTAGTTAGTGACACCTATTCCTATCTGTATCAATCTTTTAAAAGCCCTCAATCCTTGTGGAGGCGATACTCACTCACTACTATATTACTTGCATCAATTGTGTATACTTGCACCAAATTGTGTCTCACAACACACATATTTACATGCGATCAAGTTTTTGGCGCCGTTGTCAGGGATTGACAATTGGTGTTTTTAAAAGTTCTGTTATAGCATTATTTTATTTCTTTATTATTTTGTATGGATTTATTTACTGTTTTTGTTTACCTTTTTCAGGTGTTGAGTTGTTGCTTAACCTGTAGAAGACCCAAAGAACCATTATCTCAGTTTGAACTTGAAATCGAGCAACTCTTCAGTTAAGAAAGAGCTGTTCAAAGAGCTAAAAGAATTATATATGAAGTTTAAAATGAAGTGGATGAACCTAAAGAATTAAATTATGTGGCAAATAAAAATGCAAGGAATATTGCAAGACCACGAAAATAGAGATCACTTAGCTATCACCTTGGACAACCTGAATCTTGCTATTGTAGCTCCTGAGATTCAAAATTTCTTCTTCCTGAGCGAACACCCAGAGGCTAATTACCGAAAGTACTTTACACATCTGAATTACTCGAAATGACTATATTATATGACAAAGTTGAACTGAATGAAAGTAATGTATGTATCTGAATCGTTGAAACGATCGAATTACTCTGGAAACTCCGAAATGACCGGGATAAACTTGAATACTAAATGACCTAAGTACCCTCTATGACCTAGAATTAAGTGGATGACTTGATAAGTTTGGAAATGCTGATGAACTTATATGTTGTATCGTCTATAAGGGTTAGGAACCCCAAATCAAGCACATCAACATTTCTTGATACCATTTCAATACAGAAATGAAATAAATATCATTAGACTATCTGTTCGTCTCCCCAAGATCCATTCAACGATGATTATGAAGGTAGTCAGTTCAACTAGAGCAATCATTATTAAGAAGTGAATAATGGTGAAGAACCTCGGTCTGAATGATTGGCAAGTATCGCAATGTTAGGATTGGATAGTTTAATTAGACTCAAAATCCTGATAATTCAATTTAAATCCTAAATAATATGAATTGTTTTTTCACTCTCATTGGGTTAAATTACTAAGAATTATTCAAGAACCAAAATGTCTAAAATGCCTCTAATTTCTTGAATAATGGAATCACTCATATCGTATATGAAATCTCAAGTAACTTTGATGTAAAAGACTCTGAATACCTTCTTGATTACTTAGTGCATCTGAAAAAATCTAAATAATATATGATCTTGTTAAATCACTTCTCGAATGACTGATGAATCCGTTAGCTATCAAACCCTTTTTTTTTATAGGGATCTTGTTTCTAAAATTCTATCAATTTACAAAAGTTTCTTGGTTCCCTACCGGATAAATACCAAGTACCTCCGGGGAATAATTGGATCGTCTAGTGTGTTACATATGTGCTATATGATTTTTTTATCTGTCCCAAAATGTGATTTATTGAAGTTACTATTTTAATGAATCTTTTAACTGTTCAATATTCTGATTTACTATTTATGAACTATGTCTACCTGATATGTGATCTCTGGTTACATGTTTTCACTAGAAAATACAATCGTTTATGATTTATGGATCATTAAATCTATTGGTTATTACTTGAACTGTTTTATTGAGACATTATCTGGGTAGGATTCTGGAGTATGGAGGTGCAACTCTGATCAAGCTGATAATTCTTTACGGACCTACGGTATTCCTTGGGTAGGCTCTAAGGCCCCAAGGCACTGCCTTAGTATGGAGACTATATTTTAGTGTACGGATGGAGGGCATTCATGTGATTTAAATAACTACATTGTCATTTTTACAATATTCTATTGGATCATGATTTTGATATTAAAGTTACTGCTCAATATGATTTCTACTGGATATTGTATGGGTAGGATTCTGGAGTATGGAGGTTCAACTCTGATCAAGTTGATAATTCCTTACGGACCTAAGGAGACCCTTGGGTAGGCCCCAAGGTACTCCCTTAGGGTGGTTCCTTTGCTGTGTGCTTATGATAAGTCCTTATAGATGCAGTTCTGGGGAAACTGCATATAGGTGTTCGGTTGGAGGGTATTATTGTGGTTTTAAAATATGTTTTATACTACTAATGTTTTTAAAATATCTATACACATTTCTCCGTTTTGTTGGAACACACTAGACTCCTCAATTTAATCTTATGAATACTTCTCTTTGAATACTTCATTCGGACCGTAAATCCCTGTTTGCAACTGAAGACTAATGGAATCTGAAATCATCGATAGAATCTAATGATGTTTGTCCCAGTAAGGAAAGCTATGTTTTACCATATACCCGGGAACCTATTACATTCATCTGGTAGTTCTGTATTACTGAGCTTTCCAAAGCTCACTATGTTAATTACCATTTCAGGTTAAAGAGGTTGATTATGTGCTTTTACCAATATCAGTAGAGAAGTTCCACCGTCGTTGCTTGCGGAGTACGGTGCATGTGATTAGGGGGCATGTAGGTTGTATTATGTTTTTATATTCGAGTCTGAAACTTGTTTTATTACTAGTTATTGTTGAATTCAACTTCTAATATATAAATGATGTTCTGAACTTGTATTTTATCTATAAATTATTTTACAGTTTTAAATAGATCAATGAAATTTTTAAATTTCCCAGGATTTTCAGTCTGGGTCGCTCTAATGGCCACCATTTTTCCTGAAGGTCCCATCACGATCTACGGATTGGTAACACATTTCATCTTTTATCTTATTCTGACCTGCAATTTTGTTCTTGCTAATTTGAAATTAGTGAATTTGCTTGTGAAGCTATATTCTATTGTAGGGTGGTGGAACAACTGTACATCTGATCCTTGACGTGTGGCCTTCTTTACAGCTTGAAGGTTGGGAGATTGATGAAACAGTAAGGATAAACTTATGTTGGCAAGTGCATGGTAACATTCTCCAATTTAGTATTGTAGACATGTGTTTTCATCCTATAGTTTCTTATTGTTTAGTTTATTTTTGTTTAGTTTTATTTTGGTTATATATATAGTTTTGTAAAATATATAGTTTTATAAAATATATAGTTTGGAAAAATATATATAATATAGTTTTAAAATATATAGTTTGGAAAAAATATATAATATAGTTTTAAAAATATATATAATTTTGAAAATAATTTTGGAAAATATATATATAGTATAATTTTGAAAATAGTTATGAAATAATATATAATATAATTTTGAAAATAGTTTTGAAAAAAATATATAGTATAGTTTTGAAATTAGTTTTGAAAAATATATATAATATAGTTTTGAAACATATATAATATAATTTAAAAATAAAAATAGTATTAAAAATATAATTTATGGTTTTGAAAGTTTATATATTATTATTATTATTATTATATATATATTTGTATTTTAATTGTAGGTTCATGTCCAAATCAAGTCTAGAAGTTTGGTAAGTGTCCAAGCCCAACCGGGCTCACAAGCTTGACCCAGCAGGTCAACCCGTTCAAGGCCAGGAAGCAACTCAGCAGATCAGGCATACATACAAGACAGTAGCTAGGGTTTTGTATCATTTTCCTAACCACTAGAGGATTTGAACCGTTGGATCTATGGCCAATCCAACGACTTAGATGAGATTATATTTAGGGTTTCTTAAACCCTTAGCAGTTCACCGCCACCGCACGGATCTAGACCGTCATATCTGGACCAATCTAATTGTCCAGATCGAAAGATGCAAGGGTTTTGTCTTAACCCGAGCCGCCACCGCCGATATCATCGGCCAAATAACACAAATATGAGGCATTAAATGGCCCATCTACCTAAAATCAGTGCCTCCCCTAAGAGGGCCACCGCCATAGCCCGATGACTAAGAGGGCTCCTCCCCCTACTGATCCGAAAGATGGTGTTAAGATTCCTATAAAAGGAACTCAACAAAACCAGCAAATAAAAAATCAACAGGAGATACGAACAAAAATAGACCAAAAACAACCATCAATAGCAACCAAACACAACAACAACAACCAAACAACCATGAGAAAAACTGAAAAAGCCTTAGAAAATCGAAGGTAACCCTTTGTTTTCCTTTAGATCTAGGACAGTGGGGTTATTTTTAAGGTAAGTGGTGTTCGGATTTGGGTAGAGAAAAAGTCGGGATCATTTTGGGTAATTTTTCAAGTTTTCGGCCACCATGGACAGTGATCGACGGTGGTTGGTTAGGTTCGCCATAACTAGCTGGAGGAAGAGAAATGAGAGAATGGAGAGAACTTTTCTCTCTCAAAAATGGAGAGAGAGAGGGAAAATAGAGAAATGATAGGTTGAAGGCCAAATGGCCAGTTTAAAGGGTATTTATACCCTGGAGTAAATGACGATGTTTATTAAGAGACTTGAGAGTAATTTTCCTCGTATGGGTTAATTACGTTTTAGATCCATGGATCTTTGTAACTTTGTGTTTTAGTCATCAAATTAAAGTTGTCTTTCTATTTTGAGCTTCTATTTTTCCATATTTATGATTTAATCACTTCTTTTATTTATACTCACTTTTGGGTAAATATCTGATTTAGTATCAATTATTTTAGTGGTTTCTATTTTAATAATTAATAGTGATAATGATTAAATTACAATTCCAATACTTATATTACTTGTTATTTTTGTTTATGACCATTACTTTTGCTTATTTTACAGTTTAATCATTAAGTTTAATTTTTAATAATAATATTGGTTTATTTACGTTTGAAGTGCCTAAAATATAAAATATTTGCATATGTGATCTTGATCTTTTGTTAGTTTTATAATTTAATCCCTAAAATTATTATATTTATTATTTTAATCCTTTATTTACATATTTGTAAATTAAAATATTTTATTATATTATTTTATACAAGAAATTTAAAGAAACGTACCTTAACTGACAAGGAGTGTGTTTCTAAGGATTGCTCGAATAAAATAATATATTTTATGTTTTAAAAGAATTTGTTTTATTTTTTGTATCTAAAATTTAGGATAATACTATTTTGTACGAGTAATCCATAAAAATACCCCTTTAATTGACTAGGAAGGTATTTTCGAGGATTATTCGTACAAAATAATATCTCTTTTTTATTTTTCTAAAAATGATCATAATTTAAATGATATTCAAATTTGTCAATTTCAATATTTAGATGACGTATAATCACTTAGGTACCGATTTCGGGCGTTGTGATGGTTCTAATCCTTCCCTATACGTAACCGACTCCTGAACCCTTTTTCAAAACGAATTTATGGTTAAGCGCAAATCAAATTTGTTATCTTTTGAAATTATTTTTCTTAAACTTATTTTAAAAGGTATTTTTAGGTATTTGACTTACCTAACCCAAAAGTCGATGATGACTTTAAAAATATTTATTTGTTCTTCATCTTAAAATCCCAACATTTTCTAAAATTAAGTTAGATCGATCCCTGCTATAGCCCTAAAAAGTTGTAAGGACCGTTTCGACAAGTATCACTATCATTCTTTTGGCCGTATAATGTCTTTTCCTATGCACAATTACAAATATAATTAATATTGTTGATTCTCAGTGGTAAGTCTTAGTCTCTTAATTGACCATAATATGTTTTGGTTTTGTGCTAATTTGACATAGGAGTGTTGTTAATTAAAGTCCATTACTTAGAATTTCAATAACTCTTAGCCTAAGAAACATACTATCTAATAATGTGTTATTTCTGGGAAAAATATTATTTCAAGATGCGTGATGCATTTCTATTAATTAAGGGTGTTTTATATTATGGATTATTAGATTTTGTATTTCGAACTTTTAAATTTTATGTTCGGATGTTGGAGTATGTAATTCGAAGTTTCGAACATTTAAATTTATGTATATATTTTTTAAAATTAATAATTTAAAAATGAAAAAAACCGGAAACCTGCAAAATCTGGGTATCCGGTAACATTCGGGTCGGGACACGAGCAGAGAAATCACCAACCCGGATGTTGTGGGTACCCGAAAACCCGGGTACCCGGATTTTCACAACCCTACATTGCTGATGCCAATTAGTAGTTGCTTTGATTTCTTTCAATATCACTCCACTTTTGCAGGATTTGGTAAGTGACTTTCAAGAGGCATTTTATGGGGTTATTCTCTTTTCTTGTGTTTACTACTATGCATTCAGTCTCAGTTTCTCTTAGTCCAAATAGAATTCATGTCCTCAAGCCATAACTAGGTCATATAAACAAAATTTTTGATGAAAAGTAAATCTCAATTTATTACTTCCTAAGATTTGGTGTACTGAATTTATCTTAATATTCCTAGTAGTGATTTCTCATGTCACCACATTTCATCTTACCGCCGCTGTTGGGTTTTCCCAATCATATTTTGGCTCATCATTGGTTTTCATCTAACCACTGGGCTGTCAATCCAACGTCCACCACTGTTTTATCTCACATCATTTCAAATAGGGCCTTATAACTGATAGGATTTGATCATTTCTTAGAGGAATAAAAACTGTTCGTAAGAGTTTCGCTAACTTGGTTTCATAAAGTTTCAATATTATTGTTGATTTCGTTCCCTAATTTGAAAGGTAACTGGGTTAGACCATGCAATGCTTTGACACTAATACAAGGAGGATTAGGGATATGTTATAAAATTGCTAATATAGAAAGAGAGAGAGAGAAGATTTGATGTTTTAAAGTTTTAGGTTCTAATGAAATTCTATCGGTATCTTGTGTTTTAGCAAAACGATGACACATGGATAAAAGTATGTCGTCATCTTCTCTCATGACTTCTCTAATTGGCGGTGAATTTTGCACCCATCATTATAGGATTAGTATATGCAGTACAAGGGAAGCAAACAAATAGGAAAAGGTTTTACAACGGCAGCTTTTGTTTCTTGAAGAGATGCCCTTGGTTAAACCACGGCAAATCAAGTAACTTCCTTTAAGTGTATCTGGTCGTTTCTTAAAAGGAAAAAGAAAGAAAAAGCAGAAAGTCTATTTATTTTTCATTATTTTCTTATTTTTTTTTAACATTTGAACTCTTCTGAATGCATAAAAGTCAAGGTTTTACAGGTTTACATATTTTCCTTGATGAACCTTATAGAAGTTATATTACATGGATTCAGATTTTAGTGTTGGCTTTGGATATGTGTCTGACATGGTAAAATGTGGACTTTCTAAGGTTTTTCATATATTTGGAGGGTTGGACCTGCGTACCCATATTTGTCTAAGTTGGATACTGTAAGAAAAAGCAAGAGTTAGAGCAACATAGTATAAAACACTAGGCAGTCACAGTCTAAAATTATTAACGTAAATTGGGATATAAGTTATTAAAAAATTTGATAACAGGTAGCTGAATTTCTCATCTTTATTTTGACTCATTTAAAATAGGGATCTGATTATCTTATGCATCATAGTTCCATACCACTTCAAGAATTTAGTAAGAGGTGCCATTTTTGTTGTACTTACGAACCGTCTTTTCATGGTTTAAATATTTAAATCAATGAAGATTGCACTCTCAATTGATTCCTTTATTGAAAGATGGTGATTATTTCTTCTTCTTTTTTACAATAATTAATTGATAAAGCAAGAGAATATTTTGGGCTATCCAATCTTGAGATGTGTAATGAAGTTGGTGGTGGGCTTCAAGTTCACATTGGTGATGTCTTTTCACCTGAACAGCATCATCCTTCAAGCTATGCTGGTGAGATTTCAGTTTTAGTTTTATGCATAAATATGTTTAGTTGACTTTCTAAGATGATAAAAACACACACTTTCTCCTGGATATATTATCTTTGTAGTAACCGATTTTCGTCCGGGCACGAATTTTTTACTTGGCGGGAAAAGTGATGTGAATAAATGGTTTTTTAAAATAATTTGGGAGTCGCCATCGGCCTTTTGGATCAGGTAGGTCGAATACCTAAAAATCATCCTTTAAAAGAGTTTTTTAACAAAACATCGATTAAAAGATAAACTGATATGCGTTTTAACCAAAAATTAGTTTTTTTTAATAATAAAAAGGGATTCGTGGTCGGTTACGTTTTGGGAATGATTAGCACCCCTACAACGCCCAAAATTGGTACTTTTTAATTATAAATTGTCTCTATTATTAGAAATTTAAAAATTCAAAATATATTTTAATTTATAATCCTATTATTTCAAAATTATAATTATATAAAAAAATATTAATTTATATATATTTATAAATAAAATATTTATTTATTTAGAAATATCAGAAAAAGACTTCTAGGTGCCTTAAGACAGCTCTTTTCTTCGATATTAAAAAATAAATAATTAAAACAATTAATATATAATTTATAAAATATGATATTTATTTATTTAAAAATATCAGAAAATGGACATCCAGTTGTTTTAAGACTGCCATTTCTTAATATTGAAAAATAAATATTAAAACATGATTAAAATAAGTTAAAAGTAATTAAATAAGATTTTAATAAATAAAATAAATATTATTTATTATATAAATATATATATTTATGGCTAAATAATAATAGTAATAATAATTAAAAGTAAACATATAAAATTAACATATAACTAAACAATGAATAAAATTAAAACTATATATTTAAAATAAATAAAACTTGTAAAAAAATAAATAAAAATTGAAATTAGTGACTAAAATAAATAAAATTAAAAAATAACAGAAACAAAATGCAAAATATCAAAATTTAGGGACATAATTCGAATCATAAAAATATAGCTACTAGTAATGTAATTAGCCCTTATTTATTAATAGGTGATTAAAATAAATATTAACTAAATTATGAGGGACTAATCATAATATTTAACCTAAATATATATAACTACGGTGCAGTGACTAAAATATAATAAAGTATAATTGAAAGTCGAAACTAAAAGGCACATAAACTGATTTCAGTGACTAAAATGATTAGATTACAAATTGTAGTGACTAAGGAAAGGGTTTACCCTTTACCAAATTACACACAGACCCCTCCCCAAAAATGACGTCGTTCGGGGAGGGGTTTTTAAGCCCAAAAACTGGCCTAAAATGGTCGGTCTCCCTCATTTCCTTGTTTTGCTTCTCTCTCTAAAGAGAGAGAAGCCCTTCTCTCTACAAACTCCCTCACCGGAGGGATAAGGCCACCAGACGGCCACCATGCTCCGGCTCTGATTCCCGCCGCCGACCACCATTCACGGTGGCCAGAGTTTGGAAAAATAGCCTAAATCGATCCTTTGTTTCCCCTAAACCCAAATCTAGTTTCTTTTTCTCCTAAAACTCTTTCAATAGACGTAGATCTAAACAAAAACCGAAGGTTTACCTCAGTTTACAAAAGTTTCCGGTGACGTTTGGTATCTCGAGGGTAAGTTTTTCTCTTCTCTGTTTTTATTTTCGATTGTTGATGATTGCTGTGTTCTCGTTGCTTCTCTTACGTAGTTGTCTGGGATCGTTGGTGTAGTTCTTGCTCTTGTTTATGTTTTTCTCCGGTTCTTCCTCTCTGTTTTCTTTTATTTTACAGGTGTGGTGACTTTTATAGCCACCACCGAGGCTTTCGTCGGACCGGTCCCTTAGGAGGCTTTCGGTGAGTCACCATAACTATGGTGGTGACTCACCATAGGCAACAACGTGGACGATCAGAGTCATGGCAGCAGAGCTTCTAGAGGCTTCGGCGACGAGGTGGCATGGTACTAGAGTGTCGGCAGCTGGATGTTGGACCACCTGGCAGAGGCGACGGCTGGTCTTCTGGAATCTTGGAGGCGGAGGCAGCAGTGCTAGGGTTTAGAAACCCTAGTTGAAACCCTAAATTAGTTTAGGGTTTTAGTTAGGCTATCTGGTTGGGCCAGAATTGGGCTCCGGGTATTAGGTATTATTGTAATTGGGCCTGTAATAATAATAAATTATTTATTTAATAATAATATAATATAATAATAATATTAAAATAATAATAATAAATAAAACAAATGAAATAAAAAACTAGTGTCTTCAGCTGCCCCTCTTTGTTCATTCTTGTGTTAACGAGAATAAGGCAAAGACGAAAAGACAATAAGTTTTTTTTTCATTTGACTTCACTTGATTATGATGGAAATGTTGAACAAGTTCTTCTTCTTTGGGATTAGTTCTTCTCATTATGAACACTTCTGGTAATGTTGATGCTGATCTATCTCCTTTTGTGATAGAATCATGAAAAAGATTGAGCAAGTTCTTCCTTCTTCAGATGAGTTCTTCTCATTATGAACTCTCTCTGGAAAGGTTGATCCATCAAGTGATGAATTCGAGCAAAAAGTTGAACAAGTTCTTCTCATTATGAACTTATTCTTCCTTCTTCAGATGAGTTCTTCTCATTATGAACTCTACCTGGTAATGATGATCCATCGAATGATGAATTCAAATAAAAAGTTTGAACAAGTTCTTCTCATTCTTCAGATGAGTTCTTCTCATTATGAACTTCTTCTTCTTCTTCAGATAAGTTCTTCTCATTATGAACTTTCTCTGGAAAAGCTGATCCATCGAGTGATGAATTCGAGCAAAAGGTTGAACAAGCTGTTCTCATTATGAACTTATTATTCTTCTTCAGATAAGTTCTTCTCATATGAACTTTCTCTGGAAATTTTGATCCATCAAGTGATGGATTTGAGCAAAAGGTTGAATAAGCTCTTCTCATTATGAACTTATTCTTCCTTCTTCAGATGAGTTCTTCTCATTATGAACTTTCTCTGGAAAAGCTGATCCATCAAATGATGAATTCAAGCAAAAAGTTGAACAAGTTCTTCTCATTATGAACTTCTTCTTCCTTCTTCAGATGAGTTCTTCTCATTATGAACTCTACCTGGAAATTTTTTAAGAAAAAAAACATTCTGCACTGTAGGGCTTACAGCTGACTCAAAAGTTTTGAAAACATCAAAAAGCTCCCGAAGGCTTTTTGGACACATCATGCACTGTAGGACTTATAGATGACCCTAAGGCTTTGAAAACATCAAAAAGCTCCCGAAGGCTTTTTGGAAACATCATGCACTGTAGGACTTATAGATGTGGGAAATAGTTTACTAAGTAAGAAACTATGAAAATCGTTTTCTTACTTTTCAACAATTTTATTTTTAGAAAAGATTGAATGAGAAACTATGGAAATCGTTTTCTCATTATTTTTTAAAATAACATATTGATTGGGTAACATGCCCCAATCTTAAGATAAGGTTGTTGGAAATAGTTTACTAACTAAGAAAATCGTTTTCTTACTTTTCAACAATTTCTTTTTAGGAAAGATAAAATGAGAAACTATGGAAATCGTTTTCTCATTATTTTTCAAAATATCATGTTGATTGGGTAACATGACCCAATCTCAAGATAATGCTTATTTTCGTGGATTACGTCCATATATTCTTCAGATGTTTGCATGATTCCTGTATTTGCGGTTTTGAATTCTACCTTCTTCTTGTAAGGTATTTTCATCATGAATCTTCTTGTTCTTACGAAGATCTGTAAAACTTTATATTTGAATGTACTCAGATGTATCAATGTAATGTATTATCTATTGTGCAAATGATGTTCTTATGAATGCATGAATGTTGATGCAATCTTCATTTGACTTCAAAGTGGTTAACTTGGTCTTCTTTCACTTCATTATTTATTGCCAAGGTTAACTCTGGATATCAGTGTAGCAACTTACGCTATCAAGCTTGCATTTCTGCAGAATCATCTGGTCAACTTGTATCTTTGTGTCTTATTGACTTCATTTAAGTCTCAGAAGAAATGTTTCATTTGTGGAACTCTTGCCGTAGTCAGAGTTATGACCTTGATGCCCCATCTTGTCTTGGATAAAAACAACTTTCTTTGCTTGGACTTGTGTAGAAATCCAATAAAGCTTTCATTTTTGAAAAGAGAATCTGTCATCTTTAAAAAGATAATCTATCATCTTTGAAAAGAGTGTAGATGTAGATATGTCTGACTCAGCGGGGATTAATTAGGGGAGTAGAGTCTGTTCTGATTTGACTCTTGAAACACATCATAAGGAGAATTTATCTCAATTCCTTTCATGTCTCCACATTTAATTGGTTCTCGAACAAAGCAACTTGGACCATATCATGTCGAGATGCTTAACCACAACCTGTCGTTCAACTAGTTTCTTGTGGTTAAAATTTCAGCTCTCCTTCTGCGGAAAGAAATCTTCATCATATCTCATCTTATAATCTTGAAGTTGAAGAAGACAAACTTTATCTTGGATCAAAAATGGAAACCATATGATCACAACATTGGTTCAACATCAGAATAACTGGTTCGTAAAATATTTGACAACACATTCTTCATCTCATGTAGTTTCATCTCAGATGTTCGTAAAGCATTTGACAACACATTCATCCTTTTTTATGGCTTCTGCCAAGATTTCTCAATCATTGAAGCTCTTTGCATGGTGTTCAAAATTTTTGTATGATGTCACAAGACCATTTGAGAACAAAACTCAGTGGGGATTCAAGTGTGATGTTAGTATGACCAAAAAGTTGATCAAATTCACAAAATGTGCTACTGTCGAATTGAATATGAGATACCAACTGATCACGTTTTCATCTCGGGCAAAGGCAAATGTAATACTGATCACATTTTCTTCTGTAATGAACATTGTAGAAAGTAGAAACACTTCAGCTATAGGATCCATGTACAGAAAGATATCCGTAGAATTCTTGCTTCTGGGGATGAAACGTACATGATAAAACCAAAATAGATGGAAACTT